TGGGACCTAAGTAAGTGTACGGGCTACTTATGGTCGTTCGTAAAATAATGGGGCACGTTGGTTAGGTAAGGCTTAGTAGCGTCTCAAGTTAAGCATCGTGGTAGATTTACATTTATTAAGTGCAAAAATTTACGTATAAGTTTGCAAATAAATGATTTATGCATTGTAGTGTTTTGTGCATATGAAAACCCATGAACTCACCAACTCTTTGTAGTTGACCTTGTTTTATGTTTCATGCTTTTCAGGATTTAAGTAAGAAATGAAGTTTTTGGGAGCATATTTGTGGCAAGACCGATTAAGTTCGCATTTGAAGTTTTTGTTTAAGAAGTACACTATCCCATTTTGGTTATTGATGTTAAACTCGTTTTATTTTATAAAATTTGAAAGGTGTTATTTATTAACTGTTGCTGTGACTCGCTTACCTGTTACATCTCGTGTTTCCGCTTTAGCGGGGTGTGACATGAGATCCCCTAACCTCTACTTAGACTTGCCTCTGCTAACGCACTCTTGGACGTTTTGCAGTTTTATTTCATAAGTTGTTGTCGAAGTAAAGATTTGGAAAGTTTTTTACTGATTTTTTTAGCGGCCGATTTTCTATTGGTTCATCTTTTTGATCCGATTTTACGTCTTTTAATCTATTTTTTTTTACTCAAATTCAATTTTTGTTATTATATATAATTATATAAATTAAATAATAAAAACTAGTACACAATGTAGTATGATTAGAACTACGATCTTATAATTCAAAGCTCTAACCAAATTGCATAATTAGTTTTAGAAAAATATAAAATGTGAACTCAAGGACGAACCCAACTTCGTGCCACTGGTGGCACGTGCCATCGGATTATTCCTCTGTCTAAGGGTGAAAATATTAGGATCATGAAAAGTGTCATCATATTAATTTGTTATGTACCACTTTTGAAACTATAGTAACAAAAAGTTTTCTTTGGTAGAGTTGGTTTACAAGACTTTTCTTTCACTTCAAACCCGAATTCGAATTCTGTTAGTGCCATTTTCTTAATCAAATGATGTCATTGTCTGAAAATTTTTCCTATATTTATTTCTTCGAGACAAAATAGCGTCTTCATTTGAAAGCATTTCCAGGTCCGTCCCTATATGAAATAATTCAAATATGTTAAACAAAGATTATGTTTAGACAAAAAATGTAATAATTCAAATCAAGAGGGAAAAGTTATTAATTGGTTATAGTTGAGGGACCATTTGTGTAACTTTATGGTGTCTACCTTGTTCAAATTTGGATGTCACGGAGATAGGTACGGTCGATGCACGTTCATGGGGCCCACTGTACTGATGCCCGCATACGATCTCATCGCCCACTCTTCTTCATCCAACGGTCCAAGATCACTGTCAGTCCTTCCTTTTGCCATGTGGCGTGTCACGTGAACATCTCCATTAAATCCACGAAACAGCTTGTCAGTGCCCATTGGTTTTCAGGTCTGTGTTCTTCTCTCCAGAAATGATTTGATGATCGTACCTCCGCCGTACCAAACTAACCTCCGTCACATACCGCCGGTGAAAATGACCGTCATACGAAAACGGAGATTCAACTCTTGCCGTTCTCTCTCCGCTGCTACCCACCAGCCCCTCTTGAACCTCCGCCTCCTCTTCCTTTTCGTTCCCACTTAATTTCGGATAGTATTCTCTTGTTGTATCAAATGGGGTCGTCTTTAATTCTCTCTCTCCTCACCGACGACCTCCTAGAACGGGTTCTTGATTGTCTCTCCAATGATTCGGATCGCAAATCCTTTCGTGCAACCTGCAAGGTTTTCCATGGTGTTGAATCGGGTCATCGCACACGTCTCAAGTTTCTACGACCCGAATTCATTCCGGGACTCCTCCGAAATTACACACGGGCCGACACTCTCGACTTCTCCGTGTGCCCACGGATCTGCGATGGCACAATCTCCGCGTTGCTCAACAACATCAGCTGTTATGGATGGGCCCAGAGAGTGAAGAGTGTGGTGCTTTGTAGGACGACGTCTCTGAGGTCTCCGGGATTGGAGGTGCTGGTTGGGTCATGCCCTGGGTTGCAGTCGGTGGACGTGTCGCACTGTTATCAGTTTGGAGACAGGGAGGCCGCAGCGCTTTCGTGTGGGGCGGAGTTGAGGGAGGTTAAGATGGATAAGTGTTTGAGAGTGACGGATGTAGGATTGGCTAAGATAGCCATTGGGTGTGACAAATTGGAGAAGATCAGCTTGAAATGGTGTTTGGAGATAACTGATTTGGGGATTGATCTCTTATCAAAAAAGTGTCTCCATTTGAAGCATCTCTCCATTTCATACCTCAAGGTAAACGATTTTAATGACACTTCTTAGACTTGCTATCCGTTTATGTGAAATGTTACAGAATTTGGACTAATATTTCTTTTGGGGTTTGGTTGGCATTTATCTTTTTCCTTTTTTCAGATAAGTAACGAGTCACTACGGTCCATAAGTAATTTGAAGGAGTTGGAGAAGTTACTAATGGTGGGGTGTGGATTAGTGGACGATGGAGGCTTGCATTTTCTTGGAAATGGTTGCCCTTCACTTCAGGTTTCTTACCCTTGTTTTCTTTTTCCTTTTTTCGTCGTGTTCTTTACATTGAAAATATATTTTGATCACGTTGTGATTTGTTTAATTTCTTACACCTATTGTTGGTTATGGAAACGCTCAAATAATGTTTGGTTTGGGAAAATGTACGAGCTTTCATCTGAATGGCTTTAAATCTATATTTGTGAGTCTATGATGTACAAATTTGTGTAAATCTATGTTTATCTTAACATGTTGACCCAAATCTTATTTAATATACTTGCACCAATTGGACATATACAGAAAGGATAACTATACATTGACACAATTATGATTAGGCTGCAATTCTACAAGAAACCACTCCTACCATCAAAAAACATTTGCAACCCAACTTCGAAAAAGACCAAGTTACTAATTTTTTTGTAATGATTACTAAGGGCCAAAAGTGAAGTAAATTTAAAATTTTATCCAAGAAGTATATGTTGCGTATTTTATTAGGACAACCTGAATTGAAAAGTGTTAGCAAATTTTATGGGGCAGAAAGAATGATTGTTTTGAGAGTTGGAGTGATGGTGTTCTTGTCTTATATCGTTAGTTATGCATTAGAACCTAACGTCTATGATGATTTATAAATACTACATTGTACAAGCACCCATCCAATTTTAGGTGTAAGAAATCATACACCATCTAGAATATGTCAATTAGGCAAACAAGAATGTGCCCTGTGTAAGAAGACAAAATGCAAGTTGATTTAAGCGCCCCTGATCATTGTGAACACATTGATTAGTATTTTCGAGCATGTAGTTTATGTTCTAATGCTCAATCCTTGCACTTTCTTAGTTTCTGCATTCAGAAAGTTCTTTGAAGCCTAAGCATTTTGTTTATAAGTTTCGTATTTCTAGTGTAAGATCATTTTATTGAACTTGTTGGGATTGCTCAAAATGCAACCAAAAGACATTATACAGCAACAAAACCCCATAGAAACATAAAGCGGTCAACTCCCAAAGGTTCCCAAATAAAATAGCATCCTTTAACACGCTCTGAAGTCTTAACAAAGTCCTTCCATTCATGCAAATCTCTTTCAGTGATTTCCCTTACTACATCTATCTCTTGTATCGACTTTCTCTTGGTACAAGTCTTATCATTTAACCAATGCATTGAGAGCTTCAACTGAAGATAGCCAAACCACATTAAACAGTGTGTCTCAACTTCTTCTTGCCAACTCAACATTATCTTGTGTGTCCTTTATAATCCTATATGTTAACTTGCAACAACATGCCTGGCCAACATTTGTACTCTTGCTATGGGTATATTATGTAGTGTTTACATGTCACTTAGATGTATCCCACTTTTATCCTATGACTAGCATCCTCAGTACCATGTTTTACTACTTGTTAGGATATATGTTCTCTGCATCTTCTCTTTTCTAATTTTGCACACCACATGCTCTGTTATTTTTATGTTTAAAATTTGGTTTTATCCAGGTGTTTTTCTTGAAACTTCCAGGTTCCAGCTTTATATTAATGCCTTGACCTGATCTCATTGATATGATATCACCAGTGAAAGGCATTTACGATCATATATCATTTTGTATGTTTTTCTTGAGCACATTCACCTCTACAACAAATGTAGGGCTCTAAGTTTGACCATTGGTGTAATTTAATGTAGTAGAGGAGATATTTGTCTTGTTGTAGGCTTTGTGTTTGTTATGCACAATCATACATATCTTCAGCCGCTTTCATGTACGTCCCGTACAAACTTGATATTTCCCAAAAGCCCACTAATTGACTTCTCGTGACAAGTTTATCTAGATCAATATATACCATGTGAAATCCTATTTGTGTCACATATCTTTTTATAAGGTGTCCAATTGAGAAAATAACATCTATTCATTGATCTTCCATGTATAAAAACGAATTGGTTTCCTGTTACCTTATTCCCAACTGTTAAACTTAGTTTAGCAACCCACTCCATTAGTTTATTGTGTTATTGCTCAATTATTCCTCCTCAGAGAGGTCCGAAAGTCCAAATTGTATCAAGTCCTAAAGTTTTACCATTTTTTCATCTCTACACCCTCCTTATTTTAATGATAATAATAGAGTTGTACTGCAGTAACATTGTATCAAGCCCTAAAGTTTTACCAATTTTCATCTCTGCTTGTGCTTCCTTCATCTTCAACTCCGATCTACATGCGGACCGTCTATGGCATAATCAGATGGGTTGTCACGTCCTTTACAATCACTCTCTATTTTTATGATCTAAATAACCCCCGTCATTCTCTAACGGTCACTTTTGACTAAGCGGCTTTGTTCTCTTTCTTTGATGCATTTTATTTGATTGCATACCTAGTTTTTCCTTTTGGAAGATACAAGAGCGAAACAATCAACCTATTGATATTGGAAGACCCAACGGATTCTTCCAATGTATTATTTCTGGGTCCAATGGAATTCATAGGTATAGGAAAAAGCCCTATCAAATAGAGATTTTTTCTTTTGACCATATTTCGATTGTTAATACGATATATAAGGACCGCTACTCCAAAGAGDATTWCACCCTTGATYGTGAAATATCGATTGCTTGTTGAACCCTGTGAATTGTGTGAAAGTAGGATACTCCAAATTCGGGAGTCAAAAAGTTTTATAAAACGTTCTTGGTGGAAAAAATGTGAATGAAAGATCCCAACTCTTCTATATTCAGTTTATTATATACTTCACCTCTAAACCCTCTTCCGGCTTCCTTAGTGGAAATCTTGTCTAGTTTTGCTCCTCTAGGTTTTTTATAGTCTTCTAATCATGCAAGAGTTGGTAACGTTTGTTTTTTGCCTTTAAACCATTTTGTCTTTCCCATTGCACCATTATTTCTACTTTGTTTACTTTCTGTACTTTTTCTGCCCTCGTTTGATACCACTTAGCTGTACATTGCAATCTTTCTCCATATCATGTTAGCTTCATTTTTGGGGCTAATGCATTCCTTTAACTATTCCACTATCAAACATACATGGACTCTCATCTATTGTTCTCTGTTACTGCACACTCTTAGGCATGCCTTTAGGCCATACTTGACTATTGATCCCAGTTATTTGCATGGAAATGGTCTTATCTACATAGATTTCTGACCATTGCTAAAGGTTACTAGGTGAGTCAATTTTTCTAAATGAAGTCACTACAATCAACAAACGTTAATAATAGAGAAACATAAGATTATTATTTGTGATTCTTATCATCACACCAAAACATCTGCTATATGTGCACCTGCATGACCATTTTCAAGCTAGTGTTCCTGAATGAACTCTTCCATGTCCTACTGGAATTGTATTCGACGTATTAATTAGAGTGGGTTTTGATGTAGCATGTGGGAACTCCGGCTTCTCACTAGTATTGTTGTGTCAAGGTGGCTCATTTACACAATACAAAATGGGGTTCTGATGTGGTGTAGTTCTGATAGGTGTGCCTGGACATCTTGTCCGAATTCCTTCAATTCTACCCGCTATCCTTTTCGGGACCCTGGACAAGGAGGGGTGGAAGCTGAACTGGTACTGATGTGACTCATGATGCTAAGAAGGTTACACCTTGGTGATACTTGATTTGGTTCCCTTTTGTAGGTCCCGTCTTCATTTTTTCTAATCATCAAGTAATCTGAGATATTGAGGACTCCTGATTGCATCTCTGCTACTTCTCACATAACACAGATGGAACCAGCAAAATAAAAATGATAAATGACAAAAACAAATAGGACCACATCTTTAAGCTTTCCATTGTTCTGCTCCTGTATATCTACTTTCTTCTGTATGATACTATTATATAACTGTTTCCCCTGCATTCGTGAAAATGATGCTTCCATGACTTAAACCCAGGATGGTGAGGTCATTATGGACTTCAAATGGGCACATATGGTCCTGTCCCTCCAACATCTTTTTGTTTAATAAATTTGTAGAGTTTAGCATTTCTTTGTTTGATGTTCAACCAAGTTAACATTAAAAGGTAACTGGTCTGATACTCACAAGTCAAATGTACTCCATTTTTTGGCTCTGTGGTTATCATAATTTTTATATGAGTTGCAAATCCTAGCTTCTTCAAGTGATATGATAATTCAAATTCACTGTCTCATATGTTTTATCATCATTATACATCAGAACATGTCTAACAATTCCTTAAGATTGTTGCTTCAAAATTAGAACACTAATTAAGCTCCAGGTGAACCATCGTTAATCTTATGTTCATCTTTTTAGCACGATTGTTACCTTTGCAAATTTAAGTTCTGCTAGAACCAAATCTGTATATTATAATTATAATTTCTGGTTGCAGGTATTAGACATAACGAGGTGTGAACATGTGAGTTCTTCTGGCCTAATTAGTGTCATTAGAGGATGCAAAGGCCTTCAAAATCTCAATGCGGGTTACTATTTTCTTGTGAGTCTATTTGATTCATGCCTATTTGCAGTTTACATGAAGCTTGTATTCAGTCTTTTTTCAAACTAAATGATGTATTTTGATGCATCAGGAGCTTTCCCCCGATGTTTTTCACAACCTTAAGGACTTGAAGTATCTGAAAACAATTAAAGTTAATGGAGCTCGAGTTGCTGACTCATTCTTTCAGATCATAAGTGCTAATTGTTTGTTTTTGGTTGAAGTTGGTTTGAGCAAATGTGAAGGAGTGAATGATGTAGGTATTATGCAGCTTGTATATGGGCGTCCCAACTTGAAAATGCTCGATTTAACATGCTGTGATGACATCACCGATGTGGCAATATCAGCCATAGCAAGCTCATGTAGAAAACTTCTGTGCCTCAAGTTGGAGTCTTGTTCATTGCTCACTGAAAAAAGTTTCAGTTATCTGGGGTCATCATGCCACTTACTTGAGGAGCTCGATCTAACTGAATGTCATGTGAATGACATAGGTTAGTGATCCAATTTCCAGTTTCTGTATGCCTATAATTCCTAACTCAACCTCATAAAACCATCCTCTTTTTTAATAAACCAAACCCAATATATCCTGCTTGAAAGCAGTACGCAGATCTGACCTCTACTTAAAGGGAATCTTTTTAATATATTTCATTAATTCATCTATTCTCACAGGACTTGATAATCTGTCTAAATGTTCTGAGCTGCGGTGCTTAAAGCTGGGGATTTGTACTGATATCTCAGACACGGGATTGTCATATATAGCTTCACATTGCAAAATTGAAGAACTTGATCTATACCGGTACCGTGTTTCATATATTACATACAATGGTTTTGATCTTTATGATGCGTTCCTCAAGTTATTGTTTGGTTGTAGGTGTTCAAATGTTGGTGATGATGGATTACGGTTTTTAGCCACTGGTTGTAAAAAGATGAGGAAGCTAAACTTGTCTTACTGCACTAAGGTTACAGATAAAGGGATGGTGTATCTGGGCCTGCTGGAGGAACTATCTGATCTGGAACTACGTAGTAATGGCAATGTCACAGACACAGGTCTTATAGCTCTTGCATCTGGATGCAGGAAACTTTCAGAATTGGATATTAAAAATTGTCAGAACATCGGTGATGCTGGGTTTTGGTCGCTTGCATTCTATTCTTGGAATCTGCAACAGGTATCCAATTATTGGTTTCGTTTTCCATTAGTTCTATGTTTCTAATAATAATAATAATAATATATTTACGTATTACCAAAGTCATCAGGCAAGTACAATTAGTGCAACCGAAAGCATCTTGCTTATTTCAAACCAGTTGTAGATTTTTATACGGTAGATCCCCATCCCTAATGCTGTGGCTTCAATAACGAGGATCTTGTCCACCATTGCAGCTTATAATATTTTGGTCGGTCCTTGTTGCAGATAAACCTAAGCTACTGTTCAGTATCTGATGTGGGTTTGTGCATGATGATGGGGAACTTGACACGACTGCAGGACGCAAAGCTGGTGAACCTGGCTAAAGTATCAGCAAAAGGGTATGAAGTTGCACTTAGGGCTTGTTGTGCTCGCCTTAAAAAGGTTAAGTTGATTGGTTCTGTTAGGCCTCTTCTTACCCAAGAGCTTCTTCAGACTCTTGCAGCAAATGGTTGTAGAGTCAGATGGGATTAAGATTCAAGTATGTTCTTTTCCATCCCAAGTTTACATATGTGCATGCCCATAAAATAATAATAATTGTTTACGTCGTTGAATCTGAATTTGATTGTATGCATGATGGGTTTTGTTCTAAAATGGCTCAAGCCCAGAGCACCAGAAAAATCACAAATATGAAAGAATAACAGTTGATCCTTAATTCACACCACCATCTTCGTGTTGAACAGAGTTTGATCTGTTGGGGCTAAGGGATGGTGACCTCACAATGGCGAAGGCGTCTTGTCGACTCAATCCACGCTTCTGGGAACTTACGGTATTCGCTTTCATGTTGATTCCATTTATGTCTTGGGAAACAAAGTCTTGAATATCAATGCCTCTACTTTCGATTTCCTTTTCTAAAGAGCCCTTTTCCAACTCCAGCTCACTCACTGCAGGTGGCGAGTTTCTGTACATCAAATAAACACAGAACTGTACGGCTCCTAGTAATATCCCTAATGCATTTGGCACCTGCATGCAATAACATTTACATATGGTAATGGGATGTCAGTTCCCACAGCTATTTCCATTGAATATATAGGGTGATTCGGTAGAGGTAAAGTCTGTTTACATTCTATCCCAAGAACCCACCATTGGATGAGGGGACTTACTGAGCTTATTTGGTTTGGTTTGGTTTGGTTTGGTTTGGTTTGGTTTTAGTTGATTTTTAGAAAAGTGGCCTTTTGATCCATGAATCTTTGTGAGTTCATTTGTTTACTGTTGAAAAAGGAAGAAATGAGAGGACGAGAAGAACACTTACAACGACAAAGATATCTGTGACCAACAATGCGAAAGCAAACCAAACACACCCGTTGATGAACAAAGAGAACACGAGGAGAATTGGCATGTACTCCACGCTCTTCATCGTTATGGTTGTTTTCTGTATGTATAGCGTGTAATCAGTGTTAAAACCTTTAAAATACGCTAAACATTAGTCTTCACCAACAAGAACAAAGGGGTTAGACTTTAGAGTGTTTTGCTGCTTGGCTGTTAAACCTTAGGGCCCCAAGCTGGTTTGGACAATCCCAGTTACCAGAAAAAGCGAAGGGTCAATTAGCCTACCAATGCAGCAAGAGGTGCAGCATACATCATTGTCGTGAAAGTTGCACAAAGAACTCCTGTGAACGTGCGTTGTGAGCCTTTCTCAAACGCAACAAGTGTGAACGCCACGACCACCCCAAAACATACCACGTCCAACACCACAAACCCGAAATACGTAACCTGAAAATAAGATTATCAATCATTGCAAATTGCCTTCAAAATATCGCTCTCATGGAAATCTTGATTACCAAAAAGCATTCATTTACCCTTTTTTCCTTGGAAGAATAGAAGAACAGTAGAGCGAGGTAGAGCGCTTGCATGGTCACACCAGCTGCGTTAACCGTGACGATAAGGAGACCATCATCAGGGTCAAGTAGACCATACAAGATCCACAAAGAACAACTCAATAACGTCACGATATATGGTGTTCCGTTGTAGTTTTCAGCAGATTTTCTTTTCACAATCTCCCTAAACTGTGATCTGCGACATTTACAACGTTGGAATCGTGTCAATTTTCATTTCTATACAAAACCAAACCAAACCAAACCAGCTCAGGATATCCATGATTGTTTTTGTATTTAAACTTACATGGGAGAAGTGAAAGTTAGTATGGAGATGACGTTTCCTGCATGAACAAACAAACATTTAAATCCAAAATATTCATATTTTTCCGCATTTGCAGCATGCCAAAATCTCGAAGACAGACGGAGAGTCGAGAGCTCACCTACGATCCCGATGACGAAGGCAGCATCAACCATAGTGTTGATCAGCTTAGAAGCACAAGGGATGGATTTTGGAGGAGTTTGATGAGAAATGAAAAGAATGTTGATGGTTTTATGGGTTGTCCCCATGAATGCCCATTGTTGGATTTTAGCTCATCATTTTTTGTATGTTGTGCTGTTGTTTGACTGTGTTTTCAATGGTCAACATGAAGTGATCCTTAACTTCAATTTACATGGATTTTAAAACATTGAAGCTTTATAATGCTTGGTATCTACATTTACATTTTTTATGAAATACTTGACATTGAGTTATTTGTTACCTCTAATTTAAGATAAATGGATAGAAATCAATGTGCATAACAAATAATACATTCTTACTCTGCTTATATTCATATCTTAATAAATATACCTTATTTTGATAATAATTTTTTTAATAAACTAAAATAAGAACAGAACATGTTGCATATAAGTAATATATATATATATATATATATATATATCTTGGGGTCTATTTAATAGAGAACTGACTAGTTTGTGGTAGTCGTGAGATCCAATCTTAACCACAAATCAATAGATAAATTAAGAAATTTATAATTTTGGTAATTTAAATAAAAGTTTTTAATGCAAAGACATTTTATGTATTTTCTCTTCTCTCTTCTCTCTCCATTCCCCATACTCCGTTATCCGGTGATACCACTGTGATACCTAAAAATATTGACTCGGTTAAACAACAGACATGGTGTGATACCCAAACACATATAAGATGCATTGTGACACCACTGTGTTACATCTCCGATCGACCACACAAACGACCTCAGTATAATACTCAAGCACATATAAGATGCATTGTGATACTACTGTGGTATCACCGGAGGACGAAGAGAGAAGAGAGGAGAGAAAATACCTAAAATGTCCTTGCATTAAAATTTTAATTCAAAATTACCAAAGTTATAGGTTTCTTAATTTATCTATTGATTTGTGGTTGAGATTAGACCTCACGGTTATCACAAACTAATTAGTTCTCATTTGATTATATATATATATATATATATATATATATCATTTTATTATTATTTGTTTGTTAATATTTAAAAAATGTAAATAACCTCTATTAAAGTAATAATAAATTAATAAAATAATGTATAGCTAACAATGGTAGGGAGCATGGTCACTGAAACTATTATCTTAAGAGAACTCCTTACATTAATTTAAACTAGTAGTGTACCCGCATAATGTGGTAAGAGTCGTAAATGTAAACGATTTTGAAGCTTTGATGGTTTTGTTAGAGTAGATTTTAAGGATGATATATTTACACTTAGGCGGTTGTTTACCCAAATGTTTACTACTAAGATTTAACACTAAAACTTACTTTATTGGGTAAGATTGTAGTCCATCAAAATGGTATCATATGTTCAAATTTACTAGATAAGACCCTCCATCCTTAGCGAGTCGTCACCCTCACTTACAAAGTAATACTTTACGTCCTTATCATCACTCTTACTGGTGGTAAGACTCTCCATCTTTATCATCACTCTTATCAGATAAGATTCTTGGTCCTTGTCATGTTCATTCAGTAACGTAAATGATACGGTAAACATTTATCAAGTAAGTGTTTAGTAAATGACCCTTTAGTCTTTACATAGTAGTACGTTTTCAATAACTAAAGAGTTATAGTTCTAATTACAGCCAATTGACAAAAAACTGTTAAAATAAAGTATATTTAAACCGATCCAATCTAATCTAATTACTATTAAAGTATAAACAATAACTTTTTTATGTAATATTTGTATTTTGCATCTTGGTGTATATATACGGTTAAAATGATTCGGTAATTGATCAAAATATTGGATGAAACCAAACCAATTTAATCCTTCACTGGTATTAACCGACCGTGTAAATTAAGTTGGATTATATCGATTATAAAAATTCGTATACAATAAACAACTGAATTAGATCAACTCATCTAAGGACTGGGTTGATAAATACATGTATCAAGCACAATTCATGAGTGAATTTGAAATTAAAGGTGATGAAGGCTATTTTCTATAATCAGAACAACAACAACCACACAAAAAATAAGTCAAATAAATGCTACTACATTACGTCCTTTAGCTCATTAGTTTTACTCATCAGATTTATTCTGGTATGGAGAAGGGAGAAACACTTGTACAACCAACTCTACCAATTCTTCTGCATTCTTCTATTCAACAGGTCAATCTCCACTTACAATCGAGCGTTAAAAAAGAAACTTTGGAGAAAAATCTTGTTTTTTCCCCAACAGATACATGAAAATTGCTTGGATCATCCTCTTTAAACATTCAATACATCTAAAGATCATCAGGAATCAACATGAGTGATTAATACATCAAAAATGTGAATGATTGCAGTCTTTCCAGATACATATTCAATTGAAAAGTTAAACTTCACAGGTGGATATAACTTTAAAGAGTAACCAACTACTTAAATTAAAGAGAAGAGAAAAGTTACACTCATAAAAAGTGATGAAGTTTAACTAAATGCACCAAAAATCAAAATCATTATGCATCATGAATGGTCTTAATTTGAAATACATGCATTATCTTCCCATCAAAACATCAAATTGAAGAGATCCACATTCAAAAGCATGTTTATAAAACAAGCAACAACAATAACAAGGTTGAAGTTAAAATCTTTAGTGCCATCTTTTTTGTGTCTAGTGATGCCATTTTTTAGTCTTATTTTATGGTTTCGCATTCATTGGAGTTAGGATGTGGGAATGGCACTGTTTTACGTATTTGGTGAATAAAATGCTAACATAAGCATTGTTGTAGCAGGTGTATACGTTGTTGCAGCACTGAACATTGGATATTGGCACAGTTGACTCAATCCTGTTGAAAAGTCAAATTTTGGAGGATGACATCTTCTAGTACAGATAGCAGACGATTTAGATGGAAGATGTCACTGCAAAAATACCTTAAACTTTTGCACTAAAGCATCTTGTGTACTAAGGCATCTTTTCTTTTACCCATTGGTAATAACCAATGGGTATTACGCACTAGTACGTTTGATTCCCTTGGCTAGTATATATATGGAGGTAGTCTTTTAGAACAATTGTAACACTTTGACCAATATTACTTTGTCAGCAGGAACAAAGCTTCATCTAAGTTTTGGGTCCTTGTTACCTTCTTATATCATTTTGCAAGTACTTTTAAGTGTTCTTCGTTACTGTCAGTTGCTACAGCAACCTTTTCAGCTTTCTCTTAACTTTTCGTGCAAAATTTACTTTTACGCATTTACATTCAGTCATTTCCATTTATGTCATTTACTTCTAAGCATTTACATTCAGACATGTTAGGTTAAATACCTTAGAATGGGTGTAAGTGAAGGTTGTGAGATTACGCCAAGTGTTAGTCGATGATTGCTTTGCTAATAGCAATTTATTTCGCTATTCACAAGTGGTATTAATATTTTATCTGGTAATATTTGACAAATTGACACATGTTATTTTATTCAGATGAGTTGGACTTAAAATTAAGACAACAGAAATATTTTTACTAAGTGTGTTATAGAGGCTATAAAGAGTCGTTGTAATCTTATAGGTTGCAAAACTATATAGAATGAAAGGCAAATTTTGAACTAGTTTGGGATTGATGCATCACCAAGTGCACTTCCAACATATGGTCTAATTTGCACTTCTTTGGAAGGCCGTTCAATCCAGTGGTGTTGTAAAGAGCTATTTATAGAGCAATATTTATTACACTTACTTGCTGAAATCCAACTTGATCTTGCATCCATACTATCTTTTAATTATTGTTTCATTTCAGTATTTGGTTATCAACTCTCACAAATATATTTTCTCTCTGTAGCTTTAATGCTTCCAAAAACCATTTTATGAAATCTCACTTTAAAATTAACTTTTGTGACTCTCTTTGCATATTAAATCTCTATGGAATGATATTTGGTATTACTTACCATTATTACTTGCTTTGGATGATATTGTAATCCATGTATACTTGCATGGTTTACTTGTTGATATAGCCTTTTGAGGGTATAGTTATCTATACACCAAGTTTTTGGCGTCGCTGCCGGGAATTTTAACCAAAAGGAGTTTTTCTTTAAATTACTTTAAATTTTGATTTTTTCTACCAACAAGTGTTTATTTTTAGTGCTTTATCCCAAGGATACCTCACGGGGCTATTGTTGAGTTAGATCCGGACGTTGAAAGAATCTTTAGAAGGAAAAGAAGGGTACAAAGATTTTTTTTTTTTTTTGCCTATTCTATCTACTCCTGAAATGACTCAAGTCGAACTTGATGCAATACACAATCCTAAGGAGGAGATTATCAGGCTTGCAAATTCAAGGACTGGTGACATCATGAACTATACTATTCCAATGTTAAATCAATTACACCCTGGAATACGAGGCCCACTATTGATGGTGGCCACTTTGAATTTAAGCCCATCATGGTTCACATGTTACAAACAAATGGTCAATATGGTGGATTACCATCTGAGGATCCTCATTTGCATCTTAGATCTTTTATGGAAGTCACTGATTCTTTCCATCAATTTTTACTGAAGCCTTAAGGATGAAGTTATTTCCTTCTACATTAAAGGACACATCCAAAGTGTGGTACACCTCTTTGCAACCAAACTCAGTCACTACCTGGAATGAGATGACTGAGAAGTTTTTAAAGAAATATTTCCCCCCAACTAGGAGTGCCAAGTTCAGAAATGAAATTTGTCTTTTTAGACAAATGGATGATGAAGCAGTCCTAATGCTTGGGAGAGGTACAAGGAATTACTAAGGAATTGCCCACATCATGACATACCCTACTGCATACAGGTGGAAACATTTTACAATGGTCTTGACACCACTGCTAAACAAATGTTAGATTCTACTGTAGGAGGAGCCTTTACTTCCAGTACCTATAATGAAGGTTTTGATATTTTTGAGAAAAAAAAATTAACGACAATGGTCATTGGGTAAATCCTAAAGCAATAGTACCCAGAAAGACAGTAGACTTTCATGAAATAGATCCTTATATTAATCTTACAACATAGTTAACAACAACGACTAGCTTGTTGAAAAACTTGGTTGTCCCTACTGCTGAAGCCTTGCCTGTCCAATGTGTATATTATGGTGAAGGTCATACTTTTGACTAATGCAGCCTTGACTCTGAATCTGTGATTTTTTTTTGCACAACAGACCTGCCCAATTTTGAAACACTTACAACTCCAGTTGGAAAAACCATCCTAATTTCTCTTGG